TCAAAATTGATTCTGGGTGGAAAGCACATTTTTCAGCACTGTGAGTGCCTCTACTAAACATCTGTTTCTCCACCATAGGCATCTAGTAAATATGTGAATCAGATCAATCTATTGTACTTCAGACAAAAATCTTTGATTGTAAAAGGCAAAATAAGATGAATCCCACGCAAACCTATAAATGATTGCGCTTTAGAAGTGCAAATGTTTACAGCTCTCTGTATAATTCTACAATAGGGAAATGGGGAGGAAGAAGAGTGAAATTAAATGATTGAATTCTGTGCCATCCAATTTAATACTGTCTAACAGTATCACAGAACCTACAGGTGGCTCTGCCTTGGGCAGGGTTTGATCTAAAAGACTTCCAAGGTCCTTTTTGGCTCTATTATTCTATGAACTCATAGTTGGCTGTATGGCCACAACCAAAAGGTGCTCATTAATGACTGGAGCTTTTAACAGAAGTATCAAATGGAAGGCTACAGGGCTTTCTTTGGTTCTGGAGTCATCCTCTTCACCTTTTTTTTTTTTTTTTTGTAAATGAACTGAAGAAGGTGAGAAAGTCTGCAGATGATATAAAACTGCTAAGTCTGCAGATGCCATAAAATTAGATGATAGCCAATACATTCGTTAAGAAAGAGAAGACTTAAAAAAGATCTAGATAGGTTTAATTAATAGGTTGACATAAATGTAATGGAATTTAAGTTCTCCATCTGGGCAGAAAAAATGCAAGGCAGAAGAATAGGATGGGAGACACCTGGTATGGCATTAGTAGATGTGAAAGGGATCTGGGTGTCCTTGTTAATGTTAGATATGAACCAGCAATGTGATGCCGTTGCTAAAAGAGCAAATTCTCTTTTGGGGTTAACAGGACCACAGGACTCCAGTTCATGGGAAAGAGTTGCTTCATTCTATTCTGTCTTGGTCAAATCTAATTTGGAGTTTGGGTTTTAACTGTGATAAATGGGTGCAAGTTTGGGAATAGCCCTAAGAAGGTGGTGAACAGATGGGAAATAAAGCCCTAGGAGGAATAATGAAAGGATCTAGGTTTCTTATTCAACAATCTCCAGATGTCTGACCTGCTGTCCCACAGGAAGAGTAGGCTCATTCTCTGTTGCCCAAGAGGGCAGGGTTAGAATCAATGGATTAAAACTACAAGAAGGTGCATGCTTATCATCAGGAGGAACTTCCTGACCATACAACTTGTCAGCCAACTGAGCAGGCTGTTACTAGAGGTCCTCAAATGAAGGCTAGATGGTCATCTGAAAAAGATGCTACAGTACATCCTGCATCAAGCATGGGATTGGACTAGATGACCTCAAAGGTCCCTTACATCAGGGCTTTTCAACCAGTGGTACGGGTACCACCTGTGGTACATTGCACCTGGCAGGTGGTACGCGATCATCCTAGAAAAGTGGTAGCAGGGGAGGGGAATGAGCTGAACCAGTGACAGTACTGCACAAGCCTGAGAGAGAGACGGCTGGAGCTGCAGGGCTGTCAGGGCTCAGTGGAAGCGCCAGGATCAGCGCCAGGCTACAGCTGGAGCTCGGCGCTGATGCTGGCACTTCTGCTGAGCCCAGAAGAAGCACCGATCACCTGGAATATTGCAGCATCTCCAGGGTCTTGTGATTTACATTCAGATGCTTGGCAACTGATTCGTATTTATGACGGTCACAGTGTCCCAGGGTCATGTGAAGAGACCAAAACCTGCTGCAGCCACCCCGCAGATGGGAATAAAGACCAAACACCCCCCACCCCACCCCTGCTGCCAATCCTCAACAGAAATGCTCACAACAATGAAAACCTCGGACAGGAGGAAGAGCGCTGCCGGGTGGGCAGGCAGGTGTCTTGCTTGGCTGTGGCTTGGGGGGCACTTTGTAACTTCGAACAGTCACTAAGCGAACTGTTGTAAGTCGAGGACTACCTGTACTTTATCACTTTTTTCCTTTTTTTCTTTTTTGGTCATCAAGTTTTTGCTAGGCGACTGGTGGTACTTGGATATTGCCGTATCCTAAAAGTGGTACAATGGGTGAAAAGGTTGAAAAGCCCTGCCTTACATCTCTGATTCTATGAAAAAATAGTTCAGCCTCTGTTTGAATGCATCCAGTAAAGAGAATCCTGCTGTCAAGCTGAATAACTGATTCTATTACTGACCAGTCTTGCAAATAAAAATTTAAAAAACATTCAGTTGGAATCTAGTGCCTGTAACTTCAAACTATTATTTGGTGTCCTGCACTATATAATGAAAGAAAAGAAGTCTTGACCTTCTGTGTCCCATTCCTTCAAAGCACTTGAAAAGTACTCTCAATTCCCACTTTGTCCTCTCTTCTCAAAGCAAATATTCTCTGTTCTTTCAATCTCTCTTTAAAGCACTTCGTGTCTAGCCCCATCATTTTCTGAATCAGCTCTACTGTAGCTGAAGTAATCTTAAACTGTGGTATCCAAAACTCAACACAGTATTCAAATCATATTCCAGAAACAACTAAAGGATTAACACAATGTTGTCCATCACTTTGTTCTGAAATGTCTCCAAATCAAACTACTTGTTCAACATTTCCTGTTTTGCTTTGAGGAATTGTTTTGAGACTCAATTATATGCTTAGGTAATGGCCTTCTTTGCAAATATCATTTTATTCCATTCAAGAGTCTCTCCATCCAGGAACCGATTTTATTGGATTTATGGGAGACTATTTGGATTAGAAATGTTAAATTTACACAGGCCCAAAATTTGAGAGAAAAGTTTTACAAAATGTTTTATAGGTGGCATTTGGATCCTAAAAAACTGTCTTGTATGTATCCTAACTTACAAGTCAAATGTTGGAGGTGTGGTAGTATTGATGCAACTTATTTTCATGTTTGGTGGACCTGTAAGAATGTTAAAGCTTTTTGGATAATGATTTAGTGGAACATTCAAAAGATTTTTAAAAAGAAGATAAAGTTTACTCCTCAATTATTTTTGTTCGGTATTTTTATAGATTTAGATGTTAATGAAACTATTTTAATGTTGAATTTAATAACCGCAGCAAGGTTACTTGCAGGTTTATACTGGAAGAAGGATTCGTTGCCTACTCTAGAAGAATGGGTATTCAAGGTTTCTAATTTAGCAGAAATGGCAAAGATTTCTGCTTATTTAAAGGATCATACACAAGAAAAATATATTAGGGTATGGAGAAGATGGATAGATTACATTCAGAATAAATATGGAACTTTAAAGTTCCATTTATTTTATGATTATTTTTTTTTGAAAGAAATAATAATTATTATTTATAGAATTTTATAATAAATGATTTATAATAGATTTATTTATATTATTATGAAGTTAAAGTTTAGAGGGAGTTAAGGGTTAAGTATGAATTTGATTATTGTATAAATTTTTTGTTTTGAAAGTTATAGATTGTGTTTGTTTAGTTTACAATAATCCTGTATTCTGCTCCGGGAAGTGGGAAGGGTAGGGGGGTGGGAATGGGTGGGATTAAGTAGGTTAGATAAATAGAAATGTTAATGTATAAAATAGGTAGAGGAATTTAGAGAGAGATGCCACTCGGGTATCTCCCCTGAACTGTATCCGAAGAGGGATGAGAGGGGAGGAGGAAGGGAGGGAAGGAAGTAGGCTGGGAGGAAGGGATGAGGGGACAGAGGTGAAGAGAGGAGAGAGGGAGGAGGGAAGTAAAGTAGGAAGGTAGAGAGGGCGGATACAGTCGGGGGGGGGGAGATGGACGAGTGACACCTAAGGTTTTATGTATGCATTTATTTTAAAGGTATTTTTTTATATAATGTATTGAATGTATCAAATGTATTGAAAAATGAAAAAAAAAAATTTCAAAAGAAAAAAAAGAGTCTCTCCATGTCATTTTATAATTTGAAAGACTTTTTGCCAAAGGGAACCTATACAATTGCTATAGTTTTCATAGATGTTGCCCATCAAAAATTTGGGGAGCTTATTGGTTTTTTTTTTTTACTGCCCCAATGTTTCAAATATTGATTTTGGACAAAAAAATGTTTTGTTTAAAATTTGATAAGCTTTTTATTCATCAGAGGAAAGTCTGTATACAAAATGTTATATCCTACTGACCAAGAAATTACAACCCCCCCTTTTTTAGAAAGAAAAATAAAATTAAGAAAATTCATTGCTGTGAAATTTCTGAAACTGGACGTATTTCTTGGTAGACAGCCACCTCTACAAATTAATCTCCATTTTTTCCAAATTTTTAGATGTTTTCTCAGATGGTATATTGTGCCTATAGAATTCGTGGTTTACTATGCCTATAAAACTTTTCTGTTGAAAAGTTACTATTATTGGTGGGTTTCCTATGCTAGCCAGTGAAATTCATAAATCAATTCAATCGCTGTTAAACCAATGTATTTTCTGAAGGATCAATTACTACTGCAGGGATGGGCTATTCATAGACCACATATAGCTTCCAAATCTTTTTGCTGTTGTTGTTAAGCTCCAAGAGAATGCATTATTAACTGTGGCAAATCACCAAACTGTGGAGACAGAGGTGTAAATTGATTGACTGGCTTAATGCACGGTCTCTCCAAAATACACAGTCACGAAGGTCTCAAAATAAGTCCATCTTTGCTCATTTGTGTGACATTATTAATTAATTAATTAATCAATCAATCAGATTTATATAAAAGTGATTTTGGGTGGCATACATCAGTTGAATAAAGCAGCAGATTCAAAAATGAAATGTAAAAATCTACATTAATAGGTAAGTGTTATAAAAACAAATCATAAACAAAGAGTGGGTAAGAATGTTCAGCAATGGAGCCACATAAGGATATATAGAACATAGAATAATAGTTGGAAAGGACCTTGGAAGTCTTCTAGTCCAAACCACTGCTCAAGCAGAAGACCCTATACCATTCCAGACAAATGGCTGTCCAGTCTCTTCTGGAAAACTTCCAGCAACAGATCACCCACAACTTCTGGAAATAAGTCATTCCATTGATTAATTGTTCTATCTGTCAGGAAATTTCTCCTTAGTTCTAGGTTGGCTCACTCAACCATTTACTTCTTGTTCTGCCCTCAGGTGCTTTGGGGAATAGGTAGACCCCTTCTTCTCTATGACAGTCCTTCAAGTACCGGAAGACAGTTGTCATAACACTTCTATTCCTTCTCTTCATTGAATTAGGCATACCTAGTTCCCTCAATTGTTCACTAGTTTACCCTCCTGATACCTTATCATCTTTGTTGCTCTTCTCTGCATTCTTTCTAGGGTTTCAACACCTTTTCTGTATCATGCTGATCAAAACTGGATGCAGTATTCAAAGTGTGATCTCACAAGTGAATTGCATTTTGTTGGATAGGGCCCAGTGTTCAAGTTTGCCAAGGAATTTCTGAACCTTGAGTTTATTATCTAAAGTTGGCTATTCCTGCCAGCTTTGTGTTATCTGCAAATTTGATGGTCCCCTTCTATCCCCTCATCTAGATCATTTATGAAGATGTTGAAGAATATTGGGCATAAGACAGAATCTTGAGGTACCTCACTGCATGCTTCCCTCCATGTAGATGTGGTTCCATTGAGGACTACATGCTAAGTGCATGTAGTTTCAAATCCATCTGGTAGTGGTATTGTCTATTCCATATTATTCTATTTTATTAAGAAATAGGCTGTCAAATGTCTTACTTAATCCTAAGTAAACGATGTCCCCTGCATTTCCCTTATCCACTAATTTAGTCACTTTATCAAAGAAGGCAATAAGGTTTGTCTGGCATGATCTGTTTTTGACAAACCCATGTTGGCTTCTAATAATTGCATTGTTCATTTCTAGCTGCTCACAAATGCACTGCTTGATTTTCTAAGATCTTCCCATGTGTTGATGTCTGGCTGATTGGTCTGTAGTTTCCTGGATCCACTTTTTTCCTTTTTTATTTAGTTCCCCAGGAGCTTCAGGCCTGATAACATAATCAGGTCTCGAAGGACTTCTAGAATGTCAAAGAGATGGAGCTAATCTAATCTTGGAGGCAAGAATGCTCAATAGGTCATGTGTCATGGCAAAGAGGCATGTTCCCTGGGACCACCCAAATGCAGCTCTCTAATGATGGTACTTGCAGAATGCCCTCTCTGTAGATCTAATGTGGTGAGCTGATGTAACTGGGATAGGTGATCTCTCAGATTGCCCACCTTTAAATCTTAAAACCAACACCTTGAATGGGACCTGAAGCAAACTGGCAGCCAATGGACCTGACGAAGTAGAGCTATAACATGCGCTGTTCTATGACTATACATAATTGCCTGTATTGTTGCTGAAGCTTCTAGATATTTCTCAAGGGCAGCCCCATTTAAAGCACACTGTGGTAGTCAAAAGTGGAGTGACTAGGGCATGACTGATTGTAAGCAGGGTTTGCTGATTCAGGAACCCGTGCAACTAGCGCACAAGACAAAGCTGTGCAAAATCCCTTCTAGCCATGACCGCCACTTGCTAATCAAGTAGGAGTCATGAATTTAGGAGGACTCCCAGATGGCACACTGTATCTATCTGGGCCAGTGCCACCCCATCCAGCACTAAAAATGGCAAAATCCTGGAACCAGTAGGTTCATCAGAAGCCTGGTATTCTCGATCCAGACCCTCACAGCCTGCAGACACTGAGATAAGATATTCACGACATTGCTTAATTCACCAGGGGTGGGGGATGTTCAAATGGATTTCATCAGCATACAAATGATACCTCAACCCATGGCGACGGATGGACTCATCAAGCATGTGGATGTTAAAGAAGAAATGATACAATACCAAAGCCTATGGTATCCCACTTAGTAGAGGCTGAGGATGGGACCTCTTCTCCCTGATCATCAGACTTGAATTGACCTTGAAGGAAGGAAGCGAATAAGCACAACACTGGGCCACCCACTGCCAATCTTACTTCCTGCCTGGTCACTGCAGCCTTCTGCAAGTGAATATGATAAACAACTATCATCAAATATCATCTCATCTCTGCAAAAATGTATGTATTATGCAGATTATACAGAATGCACAAGGAAAGTCAGACACATATTTTAGTTTAGGTTCTTTGCCATGATGGATGCTAATGAATATAATGAGCAGCTAAGTAACCATCTTCTCTTTCCTAATCAGCTTACTAGGATTTCCTGCAAGATGCTTTCCTCAGTAGGATTCAGGTAAAGTATATCCAGATGTCTTAAACAGGAATAGGGTGGTTTTGTTTTCCTTTATTTTGTTTACCAAAACTCCAGGGAGCGGCATAATTTGCAGCCTATACAGGCAGGTCAAAATAAAAAATCAGAGACATGGTTATATTTATATTGCTCTGATTGTTTTCATATATAAATTAGGTAATGTCCATTATCAGAGTCTGGAATGCTTAGGCTACCTGGCAGTATTTACAATTATGAAAGAACCATCATGTGCCTAATTAATGGGCAAGTTGCTACTGGTGATAACTTAGGAATCATAGTTGAGTTTCCTACTGTCTTAGCCACAATTTCTTCTTACTGTACCCCCGTTTTCTTTAGCTGGATAGTAAATCAGTTTCAATATGAAAAGGACTCAGTTTGTTTCTGCTGCTTATTCTGAACATTTCTCAAAGCTGAGAAAATGTAATCTTGAATGTAAAGAATGACCTAAGAATAACATTGCTGGTGTTGGATTTGCTGTTGCAGAAACTGTACTGCAATATACAATTTGAAAATTTGCAAACATTTGATTTTGGTATGTTGTGTTCTCCAGTTATGGCTTTCAAATTATTAAAATGTCTGAACAAATCTTTCAATCAATATATTGGTAGCTGGTGACTGAGTGTTGGCATTCCATTCTTTTTCAGGAATTTCTGAAACTCTTGTTGGTGACTGTTCTGGAATATCTGTTTTCACAAGGAGTTCTGTCAATACATCTATGATATGTGACTGTTATTGAAGTTGCTCATCTCAGGACACTGAACACTCATCCTACACAGCTGAGCAAGTTGTGCTCATAAATAGACCTGAAAAGTCTATTTGAATTCTTATTTATTTATTTAATTTTTATAGCCACCCATCTCAGAAAACAAGTCTGGTCAGCTCGCAATTCAAAAACATATATTACTATTAAAATCATAAAAACAGTTTAAAACAATGAAAATAATAAAACCATTAAAATATTTAAAAAACATTCTTTGCCATTGTATGGCAAGGTATTCCTGTGACTGAACTGGATGTCTTTTGAACGTGTTTGAAATCTGAGCAATTCACTTCAGGTTGTTTAATTTGTTACTGTATTCCCAGCCAATAGAAAAACTACAAGCTGGCGCCTTCAATTACTCCAAGATGATGTTCAACACGCAGTCTCTTTGATCCTCAACATCTCAGCACAGGCACTACGATGACCCTCTCAATCCCGCATATAAAGCGACCACTGTCAAGCATGAGTTAATCAGGGCACTGATGAAACTCTATAAGCCAATGTTTTTTGTTTGCATTCCAGTTTACTGTAGCTTCCTGTGCAGTCTTGATCTGCGAGAGAAAAAAAATGCATCAAAGGTTGTGTCTGATTACATTGAAAATTCCACATGGGAGAATACATAGGCTCTGCTTATATAAAAATTACCAGAAAGGCCAGAAAAATCTTTATGTGAACCATCTTCTAGAACAGAGGTCCCCAACTTTTTGGGCACCAGGGACTGGTGCTATCAAGAAAGGTTTTTCCATAGACCAGAGGGGATGTGTGATTTTGAATACTGCCTGCATCCCAAGAATGGAGCTTTGCTTGTTTGTGTGGCCCGCTTGCTGGCATGCTGCTGACTGGTGCTGGTCCATGGACTGGGGGTTGGGGACCCCTGTTCTAGAAGATTCAAAACTCTTTAACACTACTGCTGTATCAAATTTAAAAATAAGGCATAAGTGGTGGTAGGAATATCCACTTCTGTTTTATTCATTGCTTCAGTTTTATTACATCCTAGCTATCTTGTTTTAGGTGATACACATTTTTTACCTTATAGATTGTATTATTTTACATTTATTTTTGCACAGGTACCATAAATGCCGGCGTACAAGGCGACCTGGCGTATAAAACAACCCCCGTCTTTATAGCCGGGCCGCATTCCTAGAACGTCGTCTTATACGCCGGAAACTACCAGTATTTCCGGCGTATAAGACGACTTGGCGTATAAGACGACCCCCGTCTTTGGTGCCGATTTCAGCGCTCGCGGAAGTCGCCTTATACGCCGGCATTTACGGTAATTAACCATTATAATAGTGTATGTTATATTTTTAAATTCCTGTTATGCTAGGATTTTTGATTTGATTTTTGACTTGTATTTTTTTTTATTTTTGCTGGTCACTGACTGATTAAAGATTATTTCATTATATATCAAAGGAATCTCCACCTGATGTGTCTTATTTATCACTTTTGGGCTAATAATCTATCCCTATCTACACAATTGTCTGGATTACCAAATTCTATTTTATATAGGTTCCTCCAATGAGCAATGCCTGATGGTACATTGGAACACTTGTAAATTAAAACTCTTTTTTTCTGGACATAAAATTGACAGTAGTGACTACAGTAATAAGCAATAATGACCCACCCATTCCATACAAGCACTGGGCGAAACATTTAGTTCCTCAACTAAACTCTGCACTCCCCATTCTCTTTGTGCCTAATTCTTTTCTGCAACTACACGAGTGATGTAAAACACTGGGCTTTCACTGCTGCCTTTCATAACACATGACATAACTGCACTGATCCCATTTTGTGAAATATCATAAGCCAATTTCACCAGTAAGTGCAGGTTATAATGGGTGAACATGTCACTTATTTTCTTTGCTTCTGTGAAATTTTTTTCAAATGGTTTTGTCCACTGCCATATCTTCTTTGCTTGTAATTCTAAATGTTGAGCACCAAGGCTAAAGTTGGCAAAAATATTTGTAATAATTAATTAACCTTAAAAGCAACCATTGTAACACATCTTGGGAAATGGGAAGGCCTTGGGAATTATGGCTGCTTGAATTGGGTCAGTCTTATGTGCTAATAGTATAACCACAACTATTAGTTTTTAAAGAACTAACATTTGCTTGCTTGAAAACTGTAGACTGCCGCTCCGCAGAATACTGCTTTCAAGTTTTGTAGACGGACCTCACCATTTTCTCAGGCATCAGGGATGTAATTGCATTAGCATAGAGTCCCACAACACTCATATATATGTGGCCCATGGCTCTCTGACAAAACCGTGGAGTTAATGCTATTCCAAAAATGAATCTGTTATAATTATATACATCTCTGAGTCTTTTTACATTGAGAAGTACTTTGGAATTTCCCCCCCCCCCACTTCCTTCTATATGTAATCAAGAAAGTTGCAACAGAGTTGGGAAAGGAATAGATCTCGTATAAAGTGGTAGGGCTTGCAGTAAGAAGCAAGGAAATTAACTTGGTTGTGAAGAATCTGGCTCTATGAATCCGTAATGAGAAGGCTTCAGAAGAAGAAAACAGGATCCTCAGATCTTAAAGTAAAGAATAGCAATAGTACTTAGACTTATATACCACTCCATAGTCCTTTATAGCACTCTCTGGGCAATTTACAATATCAGCAAATTGGCCCCAACAATCTGGGTTCTCATTTTACCAACCTTGGAAGGATGAAAGGCTGAGTCAACTATGAGCCAGTCAAAATCGAACTCCTAAAATGAAATATATCCTGGACTTCTTAAAAAACAGCATGGAATCTATAATAAAATTGGAACTGAGTGCCTCTGCAAGGAATGGGGAGATTGTCCCAAGAAATCTTAAAGGGCAGAAACAAAACTGAAAGACTCTTAGTAAGGGCATAAAACTATGGTTCCCTCCATTGGGCAAAAATTCTACAGCCAGACACTCAAAGAGGAGGTAAAACAGAGATGCAGAAGGCATGCTACGAAAACGAGAAAGCAGAAATAGTTTATATAAGGTACAGCTTAAGGCAGTAAAAGGATAACAGTCAAACAGAGGAAATTGATGAACTTTTTCTAGTCAGTTAACTAAGGTATATAGGAAACACATCACAACAGTAATGGGGGACTAATTACCCTGACATTAACTGGGAGACAAACTCTGCACCAAGTAGAAGATCAAACAGATTCCTGACAAACCTAGCAGACAACTTTGTCTCCCAAAAAGTAGAGAATGGAACTAGGGGATCAGTTATATTGGACTTAATTCTCACTAACAGAGATGAAATGATAGAAGGTGTTGAAGCCACAGGAACCTTGGGGGGAGGAAGTGATCATGCAATATTGGAATTCAACATTAAACAAGCACAAGCAATAGAACACAGTCAAACTAAAGTCTTGGACTTTAAGAAAGCTAATTTCAACAAACTTAGAGAGAGCCTGGGAAGGATTCCATGGATGAGAATCCTCAAGGGGAAAACAACTCAAGAAGCTTGGGAAATTTTGAAAAGTGAGATTATAAAAGCCCAGTCTAGCACAATACCAACAAAGAAGAAAAATAACAGCTCTCAAAAGAAACCAACATGGCTGCAAAAAAACAAAAAGGACAAGTATAAAAAGTGGAAAGAGGGGCACATAACTAAGGCAGAATATCAGCAAATAGCCTGAGCCTGCAAAGAGGAAGTGAGGAAAGCTAAGACTCAAAATGAACTAAGGCTTGCAACAAAAATCAAAAATAACAAAAAAAGGCTTCTTTCAACATATAAAAAACAAGAAAAAAGTTAAGGAAATGATTGGTCCATTAGTGGGGGAAAGTGGCAAGAAGGTAACAAGCAACAGGAAGAAAGCAGAACTATTCAACTCGTTTTTTGCATCCATATTTACACAAAGGGGAAAAGACAGTCCAATCTATCAAAAACAGTACCGTAAAAAACAGATAAAAAAACACTAGTTAAGATAGGCAATAAAATGGTAAGTGAGCACTTGTCCACCCTAGATGAGTTCAAATCACCAGGACCAGATGGATTACACCGCAAGGTTCTGAAGGAACTGGCAGATGTGATCTCAGAACCACAGAACTATATCTTTCAAAGATCCTGGAGCCCTGGGGAACTACCAGAGGACTGGAAAAGAGCTGATGTAGTTCCCATCTTCAAAAAGAAAAAAGAAAAAAATGGATCCAGGAAACTACAGACCTCAATTCCTGGGAAGATTCTGGAAAAGATAATCAAGCAATGAATCAGCAAACACCTAGAGGCAAACAAAGTCATTATCAAAAGCCAACATGGGTTGTCAAAAATAGATCATGCCAGACAAATCTTATTGCATTCTTTGACCAGGTGGCAAAATCCATCACCACCAGATGGATTCGTAGCTGGCTGACTGGCCATACTCAGCATGTGGTCCTCAATGGAACTGTATCTACAAGAAAAAACAAATGCACAAGTATAGTATAGGTGGTACCTTGCTCAATAGTACTAACTGTGAGAGCGATCTTGGAGTCCTAGTGGACAATCACTTAAATATGAGCCAGCAGTGTGCTGCTGCTACCAAAAAAGCCAACACAGTGCTAGACTGCATTAACAGAGGGATAGAATCAAGATCATCTGAAGTGTTAATACCACTTTACAATGCCTTGGTAAGGCCACACTTGGAATACTGCATCCAGTTTTGGTCACCACGATGTAAAAAAGATGTTGAGAGTCTAGAAATACAGAGTACAGAGGAGAGCAACGAAGATGATTAGGGGACTGGAGGCTGAAACATATAAGGAACGGTTGCTGAAATTGGGTATGTCTAGTTTAATGAAGAGAAGGACAAGGGGGGACATGATAGCAGTGTTCCAATATCTCAGGGGCTGCCATATAGAAGAGGAAGTCAAGCTATTCTCCAAAGCACCTGAAGTCAGGACAAAAAGCAACGGATGGAAACTAACCAAAGAGAAAAGCAACTAAAACTAAGGAGAAACGTCCTGACAGTTAGAACAATTAATCAGTGGAACAACCTGCCTTCAGAAGCTGTGAATGCTGCAATACTGGAAGTTTTTAAGAAGAGACTGGGCAGCCATTTGTCAGAAATGGTATAGGGTTTCCTGCCTGAGCAGGGGGTTGGACTAGATGACCTCCAAGATCCCTTCCAACTTTTTATTGTTGTTGTTATTATCATTATTATAAGTTTAAAGCAAGAGAGATGGAAAAACAACTTATGGGTAAGAAGTAAATAGGGAGAAAGCACAAATCCTGCTTCCCTTCAGCAGCAAGGAGAACTACCGTAGCCACTTCGAAGAGGAAGCAAAGCAAGCTGAATTCAAACAGGCCAGAATGAGGATGGATAAGCAAATCACATGACACTTTTGAAAAGGCAAGCTACAACTATAAGCATCTTTATTAAGGGGTGGGCAGAGATGGATTGCTTCAACTTGTATTGTTTTAAAGGTGTAATCCTCTTAAGGAGGTTAACACCATTGAGCAAGTTTTTCAGAATGTATGGATTCACGTCTATTGAATCAGCTCATTCAGCTCATTATGTCTGGTTGTTTAAAGTTATTCTTGTACACGTGTATTATTGTCTGTATACAATATCTGCATGGATACTGAAACTTAATGGAAGTTGTAAAGTAAAACTGTTATTTTCATAACTGGAATTTTGTATTCTTCCTATTGGATCTATGGAAGTGAATCGCCTCTTAGTCCTCCCCCTGCTAATTGGAGAGTTGGCAACTGTTTATAATGAAATGGATCAGTTGAAGGAATTCTGTTGAAAGATCCCCTTGGGAATCAGCTTCTGAAACTCAGGTCTAGCCCCTGCATTAAAGTAAGAGCTATATATGAGCTACAAATAAATAAGTCTTCTAGTCTAATGCTGAAGGTTATTAGATACAGTACTTAGCCAGGTACCCACTAGAAACAGAGACCCCAAATCAATTAGATTATGTGTTTGTGTGGTTTACAACTTTTATTATATTATATTACTTCCCATGGTCCTATTCCTTTAGGAATGCCTATTTACATCCCATAAAATAGCTGAGATATAATATTTGCTTCATAAACCTTTAATGCTGCTGGAATAAAAAAAAGCTACTTGTGCTACAAAATTTAAAAATTGCTGTTGTTCCCAGCAAAGAGTTCACACGTGTCTACCAACATAATATCTCTTAGAAGACTACACCAATGTTCTAATAAAATTACATTCCCATCAATTGGGCTTTATCTTTTCTTCTTTTCCAAAGACTAAGATCTTTTTAAAAAAATTAATGGCCAGCTGCTCTGCTATGTACTTAATCAGGACCTAGTGTTTTTTTTTTATTCTGATGAGAGAGATTAATAAATATCTTCATCAATTGTCTGTTGGCAAATCTAGAGGATAGAAAAACATTTAATAACTTAATTTATATAGAAATTAAACAAGGGGTGCAAAATACATTCTTGTCTCATATCTCTGAGTCCCTGATAACTCTCATTCACACATATTCTCATATAATGAGTTATTAAACAGAATGAAAATGGCAGTTTCTTCCTAACCCTTTCTTCTAAAAACTGAGTTAAATGCAGATCTGAAATCCACAAAGCATATAAAGACTCTTAGAATTGATACGTTTATTGGCCAAATGGTCGAAATCAAGCTTTGAATTATTGTCCTTTGTTTTGCTTTAAATCCCATCTACATGAACCATCTTACTATTGCAAATCTAGAAATATCTAATGCACAATTTATTTATGACATGTAATAAGCTGATCCATAACCAGCAGTGCCAGTTGTATCTCATTTTATAAAATGGATAAAGATCACAAGCCCTCAGCCTTTGGGCATATTCTCTATATAATCTATATGCTAAGAAGTGCTGCTAGTATGAGAATCCACCATTCAAATGTTCTGGATCCATAAAGCCAAGAACTTTCCCAGACTTCAGCTGTGAAATACACTTACACAAGTCAGAAGATGTAACAAGAGGCCATTCCAGTAATAGATAGATTCAATTAAAGATTCATTTCTGGAATCTATTGTGAAGATGGAACTAAAATATTCATGCCAGACATCAGCTGAGATCCTACTGCCAGTACTACGTCCATTACCCAATGCATCCCACGAATCAATGCCAAAAATGGCAGAACTTTTCAGCTTAGCAGCTGAAATATTGGTTGCCAGTTGCCTCCAAGGCATTCATCTTTTGCTATCTAATTAAAGTTTTTTGTTGTGATTTCTACAAATGCAGTATTTGTGGATGACTAGGCCAATTTTTTTTCCTGCAAACTTCTTTGGCAGGGAATCATGTTGAGTTGGAATTCATCTTTGAAATTGCTTAAAAACTATTACTAATTTCAGTCAGTACAGAGTGGACACTTTATCATTCTGGTATCATGACTGATAACAGACACATTGAGGAACAATGTGCAGATCCTCAGTGGGGCAAAGTACAAAAGGTACAAAGTACTCTTTAATATACAGTAGATGCTGACTTTTTTTTTCTGTCCTCAGCAGAAAAAATTCAACATCCTAGTGCTAGTTGCTCCAAATGAGAGTTTCCAACCATTGCTGTTATTTGCCAATTTTATGTTAATTATAAACTGATTTTGTTGAATTTGATGCATTTGACAGCTATTCATAATTTTTTTTATAAAAGAAAGATGGAGTGTAAGTAACAGCCAGGATGTCTTGTGGATGTCACTGTAGGCGGTTTAAGAGGGTGCTAGTCTTCCCCATCACATCTAGTTCTGGAAGATACTGTTTGGTCTTTGGAATACTTGCAGTACTTAGGCTGGATATAAGTAGTTGCATCCCATCCTTCCCTTCCAACATGGAGCAGCCTCTAAGTAACAAGAAACTGCCAGAATTCCCAGTCACCTTAGCTCAGGGGTAGGCAACCCAAAACACTTAAATATCATATATATCATAAAGGTAAAAAAGGATATATGCAGTGTTATCTTCATTTTAGATGTCAAAAGGGTCTCTCTGTCTCTCCCTCCCTCCCTCCCTTCCTCCCTCCCTCTCTCTCCCTCTCTTTCTGCCCTTGGTCTGCCAGTCCTCTTCCCCCACTCTCTCTCTCTCTTTCTCTCTCTCTCTTACTCTTTCTTTCTCTTTCTTTTTCTCTTTCCCTCTCTCTCTCTCTCTTTCCTCTCCCTCTCTCTCTTTTTCTCCCTCTCTCTTTCTGCCCTTGGTCTGCCAGTCCTCTTCCCCCAGTCTCTTTCTTTCTCTCTCTTTCTCCCCTCTCTCTCTCTCTCTCCCTCCCTCTTTTCCTCTCTCTCTCTCTCTTTCTCCCTCCCTCTCTCTCTTTCTCTTCCCCCCTCTCTTTCTCTCCCTCCCTCTCTCCGATCTTCTGCTCACCTGGCAAGCTGGCTTCAAGCTGTTCTCCAACAAGCTCAGGGGTAGGCAACCTTGGCTCTTTTATGACTCATGGACTTCAACTCCCAGAATTCCTGAGTCAGCATAGCTGGGCTAGCTAGCTCTCTCCTGCCCTTCCTGCTTCCTACAGAGATGCAGCCAAGGCAGGAGCCCCGCCCAATAAGCTTGTCAGCTCATCAAATAGGGTGAGGCCACTCTTTTTTTTACACACACACACACACAGAGAGAGAGAGAGAGAGAGAGAGAGAGAGAGAACACAAGTGCCTCTCTCTCTCTCTCTCTCTCTCTCTCTCTCTCTCTCTCTGCAAATGGCAGAGGAGGCTGGGAGCCGCAGGTTGCCGACCTGTGTCCTAGCCCATTACTGAGAATTTGGAAAACTGAAATCCATTTCTGGAAACTCAGTCCACTTAGCTGGACTTGGGAGAGGTATGAATTTGCCAGGATCAGAGAAGTATGCCACTATCTACAATGTCACAATACAAGCAGTATACCACAGTTGTTGTAATGCAAGGGGGATAATAAATAAATATGGTTTTTAAATTAATATTTTCTATTAGCATAATGTTCAGGGCAACCTTCAAGTCACAGAAATCTTGTGCCCAACCCCATCAAGCATAACTACCAGGCCTGATGTTTCTCGATTGCTGAAATGCTTATTGATGAACTTGTAGGATTTAACCTGATTTTTGTTTCACCCCATCCAGATTCTAAATTCTAGTTCAGGAATTATTCCTCTTTATTTGGAGTGGCGATGTGTAATTGAGTGTCATCAATATATTAATGGCACCAGATTCCAAACCAACGGATTTCTCTCAATGACTTCCCATTCTACTTTCACAGAAAACTTGTGAAACGGACAACTAAGTGAGCTTCATGGTTGAGCAATGATCTATATACAATTTTTTTTAATCTCCAAAATACAGACTTGACGAATGTTCCCTCACAGCATAGCACAGTTGCTTGAATTTTGCACACACACAGTGTTTTGGTACCACAAATCCCTTCCCAGAAGGAGGGATGGAGCTTCAAAATAGAATTCAGTCATGGAATATTATCTCAGTAAGCTAATGTACAGCTTTGGGTCTGTCAGCTCAGCTCACATTGTCCCATAGGGATTGTTCTTGCTATAGGAACTGATGTAGTAAATGCTCACCAGATATATTTCCTGTATGGCAATGGATTGCTGAACTCCTCAGGAGAAAACATTTCTTCCATAGCCATGTAAGTCATGGGCAACATCAGTAAATAAAGAAGCAAAAGACTCAGAACATCATTAAAAATTCAGTAGTCCAGTTTCCAAAAATGCACCAAAAGTGTTATTTGTACTCGGCAGATTTTATCTTCAAGGATATTACATTTCTTCTTGCTGTTCCTGTTTAAGAAATAAAATATAAGAAATCTAAGAACCCAAACCCACAGTTCCGTGTCAGAAAGTATGTCAGTACTATTTATTCTGTCATTAAGTTATATATAGTGTATTTAAAATCTTAAAAGGCTGTGACAAAAAGAATCCATGACATAGACTAAAATTTACGTATCTAGAGCAATTGTGACATTGAGAAACATATTTAGACTTGTGTAGGCTCATGCATAATATCAAAAAATTAATAAGTATTTTGTCCTGAAAAGGATTCTGCATATCAATGTGCATAGCAAAGAGTATATGAACTCTTTCTGCAAAATGCTTTGAAAGTATTGTTAGCACTGATGTTATATATGCTGGTTTGACATTAATTCAAGCCATATTTGTCTCCTCCAATCTGTGAATGGAGGGAATGTCAGCTCAGATTTGATGAATATAGTTTATAGAGAAAGAAGTTACTGAAAATGAATGGATGGATGGATTGGATGTATAAATTGTAATGAAAGCAAGTGGCTAAAATGGAAAAAAGTGAGTGAGAAGTGAAAGCAAGTGGCTAAAATGGAAAAAAGTGAGTGAGAAGCTGCTTCCTTCTTTTCAAGGACTTGGGATGGGATGGTGACCCTGCTATCCTTCTTGCTGTCATTACACGAGTAGAAGAAGCTATGAAAGGAAATGGTTGAAACTATGGCAGGACACAGAGAGATACTGCTTTTGTTCTTCATGGAGAGTTTCTCTTGTACCTCTCTATGTGCGCATGATGAGGGTTATCTGTGAAAGCCTTCTGTATTCAAAGGCTTCTTCCTCTAGTTGAGGACTCTGGAAAACTAGGATCTCAGTCAGTGGAAACTCCATTGATAGAGAAGGTCTCCAAGACTGACATTTATCTTCTACAAATGCAGAGGAACAGAGCTAGAAGCCTTAACCATATTTACTTGGGGAATAAGAACTGACGTAGATACCCATGCCAAACCACAATCATGCCAAAATGTGAAAAATCACAATGTAAATCCCACCTTTCCACACTTTTGTGCTACAACATCACCAGGAAATATTAAGGAATTAAGTTTTTTTTTAGGGCACTGACTGGGACTTAGCTTGGGATACTTGCTACCCTATGGATTCTTACAGCAATTGAATTTAATGAAAGTTATCAGAGTAAAAAAGTATTCATGAGCCATCTTGTTTACCTGATTGTAATCAGGGAGAAGAAGACTCAATATCCCAAGGATCCTACTTAGTTTTCACCTTAATTTATAAGAAGTAAGCCAGACTAAATAAATCTATCTCCTGTATACAAATAACCTGGGAATAAGAGTCATTTAATTCATAGAACTTACTATAGATTAAGCATACATAGTTAATGCTTCCTGGACCCAAATTTTCATAGTCTGAGGGAGAGAATTAGAGATGTCTGTAAGAAATGTTTATGTGTGTGCATACAGACAGGGAATCAATTATTTTTACAAGAGGTGTACATTATTCCACAGAAAATTAATTTGAATCATAGCCATTTATTTATTGAGCTGCATTTTTTCTACTGGTTGTGACCTTGATCTGGTTATGTAGCTTCTGGCTGCTTTTATCCAAAGTGTGTGTGTGTGTGTGTGTGTGTGTGTACACAAAATGTGGCTTACATGATTTTGCCAGTGGGCCTGGAGACCCCAGAGTGATGCTTCAAGTGGCTTGTTTGATTGTTGTTGCCAGGGGAGCAGGGTTCATTGGGTTTTTTATTGAGGTCTTACTTCTGTAAGCTGCCTGGCATCACAGTGAGTGAGTTGAGTGACCATATACATTTTCTTAATAAATAATATAAACTAGGCCAGCGATGGCCAAGGGAATCTGTCAGATGTCCTGGTACTAAGTTTTTTAGGACTATAAATCTCAAAAGCAGAACCTTTAACCTGGATTGTGGTAACTACTCTATTGCTGGATTCATAAAACTTGACAAGCCCAAGCTAGATAAACTATCTACAACTTAGTATGTATCCAGCTGTCTGCTGGATTTCAGCACTCCATTATCTTGGAATCAAAGGAGAAAGAAAAGTTTATTGGAGCAAGTAGATTCTTTGCCAACATCCTCCTGAGCCTTGGCAGAACAATAATTCAGTTCACCCATTGTGCTAAATATTGTTTTCTTTTAAAACTGTTCCTCTAGCTGTTCAAATCTAATCCTATCTGTTTCCCTGGGTGTCCCTGACTGGTATGTGATTTTAAAAAAATATTATACTTTTTTCCTCTTCCACAAACACACCTGCATTTAAAAGGAGAATACCTGGTGAAGAAACTGAATAACATCCTTTGAGATTAATCCTCTGAGATTAAACTCTAACAGCAGACCTTCGTATAAAAGCACCTCCCCTACGAAATAGTTCGCTCTACTTCACGCCCTGCTTGAATTTCCTACCAAAATGTTTCGAGGCAGAGAACACGAAAGCAGGATCTGACTTCCGCCAAATCCCCAATGTCACCCCGTGGAGCACGTTCAATAACATAAGGAATCGGATTTCGCCTTACCCCCACACCGCTCCCAATTCCAGCGTTTGAAAAGGGAGTTTGAGGCGCACGGGCATACTCAAACCACGTAGCACCCGGACCTCTTTCGCCAGCAGAAAGGCCGCGGGGCTTTCCCGGTCGCACCACCGAGCTCGCTCAGGGGGGTTAACTCCCTCAGCAATTCCACTTCAGCGGGTTTCCGCGTCAGGAAAGAGAGACTCTCTCTCTCTCTCTCTCTCACACACACACACACACGCTCGCTCTCTCTCTCTCTCTCTCTCTCTCTCTCTCTCACACACACACACACACACATACACTCTCGCTCTCGGTGCCGCTACTTCACCGGAGAAAGAGGCTCACCAGAAAGATAGTAAAAAGAGGCATCGGCACCACAGAGGCGCCGAGTTTCCTCGCTAACCGGGAGTTACCGCTGCTGCTTCCTTCAGCCCGGCTACACCGCTGCCCTGCCCCTTATCCTATTCTGCTTGCTTAACAAGCGCCGCACAGACCGCTCCCCTTTCTTCTCCCACGAAAGAAGAAAGCGCGCCGCGGACTCGAGCGACCTCTTCCCAGGAGCCCTCCGCCATCGGCTCAGTTCGCAGAGAGGAAAAATAACCAACCGATCGACCATTACCCGCACAAACTTTTTTCCCATCTCTGGAGCGAGTGAGGCGCTAACGGGCCTTCTTTCACCTCTTCGTCGGCGACCCGCTAGTTGTCCCAGAATAGCGCAAATGAAGGAGTCAAACCCCACGCTGAGAACGGCCAGGGTCGCCCTGACGGGTGGCAGCTGTCACTTCTCCTACCTTGCCTGCAGAACTCGCTCGCAGGTATACGAACAAGCGAGTTGCAGTAGAGGTGGACGGCCGACGCCGCCATTTAGGGTTCTGAGTGGACCCCCCCCCCCATCTTCGCCTCCTAAGTAAAGTGCAAACCAGCTTCTGGTTAGACAAAAAACGTGAATTAGAAGGAGTAAGCTAGAGAGGCATAAGTATTTCTTTCCATTCTCAGAGGACGAAACCCTGAAATAATTTTGGTGATTCCCAATTTGCAGTAAGCTTGATAATGATGATAATTTTGGTCTTCACAGATGCATCACAAATAACTCATTTATATCCACGATTACAGGTATACCAACCTGTAGCCTTAGTTATTATGGAGCAACTGGATTATGAATTCTAATATTTATGAATTCCTGGAACTTCATAACAGGAAAAGATTCAGTCATACTGAAAAGTTATTGTACTGTAGGGTAACCAAGCATAAACTATTGGGTTCAACTGCAGCAGAAGAAAAGTAATACAAAGAATTACAATCCTATTCCACTTAGCATAGTGCTTTAATGGATTGCAACTCAGGCTTGATGCTGGTTCCATGCATGATTCTTTTTGCAGTCCATCATTAATCAGGAGCTGTGCTGTTGGGCATTTTACAGTGTGAAGTGCTGCAATGGAGATGATTCACTCAAAACTGTTCAGTCCTGAAGCCAAACTGCACAAAGAAAAAAGCAGTTACGAGAAACAAAGAGTTAGTTAAACTGATCAAATACTATTTTGTTTTTTGAGGATTAAGTTTACTATTTGTATTGTGCTTAACTGATTGGTTGTCACAGTGTTAATTCTATGGAACCAAGATTAATTTTGTAATGTTGGATTCTTCAAGAAAACTGCTCCTTCCATACTCTCCTCTATACAGGTTGGATCTTTGCAGTCTGTAAAGTTCCATTGTTATTTGCTTGCTACTACTCCTTTGTTATCCTTGCAAGAATGATAGGACCAAGCACAATTTATTAAAGGCTGGATAGAATAAGCACAGAAGTAATTAGTGAGCAAATGAAGCACCCTACATAATTTCTCAGTTCATTAGAAATACTGCACTAATTCTACATCAACTCAATTAAAAATGTGCTTATATTAAAAAAATATAAATATAAACCACGGATTACTGAGTAGAGAGTGTATGAACATGCACAAAAACATAATTATTATAGGGGAAGCAACTAGGGGACATGTTATTACTTCCAAGATTAGACTTCATTCCTTCACACATTCTGTTTTCAAACTGCAAGGATGACATTTTTCTCTAAAGCTAGCATTTGTAATGATGTTCAGTAAAAGTCATGAATTCAACATTATATATTATTGAGCTGTTGTTCTGTTTTCGTATTTATTGTTATATATTTTCAATCCTATTTTTATGCTGCTTCAACTTCCTCATTAGGCAATTTTACAAACTGAATAAACAGATACAGAAATTAAATTTCTTCTGGAAAAATAAAAGTTCACATACGGATAATTATGTAGGTACATTCAGGATTCGGTCATTTTGAAATCTAAAAACACAAGTTTTGCCAAAAGACATAGAAGGAACTGTATGAAAAAGAATGTATGTATATCAAAGAAGCCACAGGAGGAGGATAGCTAGAGTGGCGAACAGGGAAAGAGGAAACAGAGTGGGGCTTGTGGGTCCACGCATACGTTCCCCCCTTGAGTCTTGAAAAGAAGGGCTGGATCTAC